ACTCGCAGAAAAAGCTGTAAGCATAGCCAAATCAATCTTAAATAAAGGCCTAGATTTATTTTCAGCGTTGTTAGCGTATAGAAATACTCCTATTGTTTCTATTGGTTTATCACCTAGTCAACTTTTGAATAATAGGCGTTTGAAAGATAAGTTACCAGTTAGCAACAGTTTATTAAAACCACAGATTACCGATCATGGGGAGGTTAAAAACAAATTGGAACAAATTCAGAAAGAACAAAAATTTTATTATGACAAAAAGGGAACGAAGGATTTGAAAGAGTTAGAACAGGGTGATGACATTATATTCCGGAAGAATACAGAATGGGAATCAGGTACAGTGAAAAAAAAACATGTGGCTCCTAGATCATATATCATTAATGACTCAGAAGGTAACGAATTGAGACGTAATCGTATTGAGTTAAAGTTATCTCAAAATAAAGTTCAGGATTCAAGTGCAAGATATGATCTAAAAAATGAAGTTGAATTAGAGACAGATGAAATCTCTCATCAGAATACTTTACCATGTCCTCAAAAGTCATCAGAGGAATCAGAGAAACCGAATTTAATGAATGATTATGAGGAATGTGTTGCCAACAGCAATATTAGCCCAAAAGTAGTAAGACGTTCAGGCAGAACTGTTGAACTACCTGATCATCTTAAAGACTATACTTTGTTCAAATAATTTATACTCTTACATCAACTCTACCATTAGTAAAAGGGTGTAAAGTTTAAGTTCAGTGTTGTGAACATTCGGTATTGATTCTAGGATGGATGTCAGTTTTGACAGGAATTGATTAAAACTCATTTGTGTGAACAAGCTAATCTTGTTTCATTTGATCTTTTACAATTTTGTCGTCAACCTCGAAATATGTCGAATGTATATGGAAATAATACACATATTTTCATTAAGTAGAAACGAGGAGAGAAAATCCCAAAAAATCAAGTGAAATGAATATCGCACTGTTGGAAATTAGTTGATGACTCAGCAAGACTTTGTACTTAGTCCTAGTAGGTCTACAACAATCTCTCAGTTGAGTCACCAAAAGCATTTGTAGTCAGTTGAATCTTCATTGACATTGTTGATATGGTCAATAATAATGATAATGATAATAAATAAATTTCATTGAAAGAAATACTACAATATATAAAAATGAACACATAAAGTAGGATTGAATGAAACAATCGTCAACGAAAGAATATGATACTTGTACATTCCACAAATATTTCCGAGATTATTTGATTCCAAAGTTTATGCTGAACTCTGTCGGGCTCCTTCGGACTCGGGCCCTTTCGCCAAAATATGAAAATAAACTTGCAATTTTTAGATAACTGGCTTTCTTGCAAAATTTTCGTGCGATTATCATAGCCGATGATTTTTTGATTTCAATATAATGTAATATCTCCCTAAGTTTGATTCGTTCTTTTTCCTTCCACAGAAAAAAATTGTGAATTTACACGGGAAAATATCCCTCTGCTATGCGTCGGGAGACAACACAACCTTGAGCTAAAATCTATTATTTTTTCCTTTGTATAATGAATAACTATTCCAGAACGGAGGTGAGTCATTCTACATTCTGTGGTGAACAGGATGCACCTTTTTTAACGACGTCAAAATGACTCACGTCATCGGCGTCAAATGGCGTTTTATGTGAAGGAGTTGATACATACATCAAAGAGAATATTTTGTGTTGATGAGTTATAAGTACATTGCAGCCGGCTTTTCTACACCGGAATCGTATGGAAGAAAGATACAGAAATAACTGAAATTCTTCAAATTCCAAATCAGCATTTTGTTGAAAATGAAATAGTGCAACTTTGCCCCAGTTTAACCTACTCTGTACCTCTTACGGTTACCGAGATCCCCATGCTCAGTCATGAATTTTTATCACTCTTTATACTCCAAAAAGAGATACTTCTTGCTAGGGTAGGTAGAGCATTACAACATGAGTTGGGTCTGCTCAGTAAAAAATTACGTAACGACTTCCGTTTTCAAGATACAAGGTATTGAAAAATAGATTTGTTTACACATTTTTTACCATTATGTTGAAACTACTGGCGACATTGTAATGTGTTTTAGCTGACACATCGCTTGAATTCGTTTCTTTATCTTAGCCTTATAGAGGGCGTTAGTTACCCGGTTCGTACCGAGTAGTTTCAAACATAACTTTATTGAGGTTAGATTTTTCAATCCAAATTTGATGTGAACCTGAACATCATACAACTTTTACACTAAAAAGTTACTCTTGGCATGACTCGATACTGTCTACCGTTTTTGGGAATATTCTGATTGGAAAATGATGAAGTGATAACTGTTGCTGGTTAAAAGATATGTATTAGAGTAATTATTATGAGAAACTGTTACCTTTTTAAATATATACTAGAAGCACGAAGTCATTTCCACACAATGTTCATAAAATGAACAACAATGGTGGATTTTGGCTAATGCCACGCGGAACATTGAATAACAACCTCTCGAAATCTATGCATGGACTCGTATAAACGAATACTGATACAAGTGATTTTTTCCTGAATGCCTGATGATTTCGATCCAGCCAGGCGACGCTAGACACCTACAGACCGGTTTCGAGCTCTTAGACTCTCCTCAGTGCAGGCCAGTCTCCAGCCAGCAGTCCTAAGTCCGCCGACTGAGTGTAGCCTAGTCAAACAGAATTCAAGTCAGCATTATATTCGCTCAGAGGCGTCTTCCATAGACGATATAAAAAAGGAAAAACAAAACACTCTCAAACCAAAATAGTCATGATGCTCAAAGTGGAATGAAATGTTAAAAAATTGAAAAAACTCGGTCATTTCCACAAAATGTTCATAAAATGAACAACAATGGTAGATTTCGGGAGAAAACAATTACGGAGGACGCATCTGAAGGAATATAATGCCGACTTGTTTTTCGTTTGGCTAGGTTACGCTCAGTCGGCGGTCTTACACTGTAGAAAATTCCTCTGAGTGAATGCATATGTGGTTGTGAGTGAATTTACTGATTGACATTTTTTAGTGAATTCTCAACTCAAACTAGATATTTCATCAAGTTTTCCTATCAATGAGAATGCTTATAATAAATTTGATTGAATCGGCTCATGAATTACCATTTTACTCAGTCAAGTAGGGTGAAATTTCAACTCAATCGGATGTGGACCGAAATTGACACATTATTGCGTGGACTTTGAGTTAGATTTCACTCAATTTTTTTTTTCAGTGTAGGATTGCTGTCTGGAGACTGCCCTGCACTGATGAGAGTCAAAGAGCTCGAATCCGGTCTGTAGGTGTCTAGCGTGACCTGGCTAAATCGAAATCAATGGGCATTCAGGAATTAAAAATCACTTGTATCAGTATTCGTTTATACGAGTCGATGCATAGATTTCGAGAGGATGTTTCATTATCCAGGAAAGTTATTGTTCTTCTCCCGAATTCTACCATTGCTATTCATTTCATGAATTTTGTGTGGAAATGACTTTGAGCTTTTTGTATTTATTCAACATTCCATCCCACTTTGAGCATTGTGGCCATTTCGTAGTTGATATTACCTTTTTATTGAGAACCGAAATCGACAATATATTCCTAGTACTGATCTCGGTGCGAACCGTGTAACTAGCGCCCTATATGAGAAAAAACAAATTCATGCAATGTGTGAGCTTCCAGAACATATCTTCGAAATAATCCTGAAAAATCTGTCAACACCTTAGCAAGAGGGGCACATTCTTTTCAAACATTCTGTAGAGAGGTAGCGTTGGTAATTGATGATTTCGATGACAGTTTTTGGTATTTGATAAAGTCTCAGGTCGAAAAAACTGAGGAGAATTGTGAAGGTGATTGAGTTTATTGGATCAAGCCACTTCTTCTAAATCCATTTTCAGGGTGTACACTGTACATCTATGAACCATAATGAAATCCCTGTTACCTGACAGAAATGATTTAAAACAAACATAATTTTCAGAGCTCATTTACGTATTACCTGGTAGGAAACACCCAAGAATAGTCGTGGATGATTATGAGTTCAATGTCCACAAGAAAAAAGCTGACAAAACAAGATGGAGATGCATGTGTGAGTCTAGAACGAAGTGTACTGCCGTTTTGTATACATCTGGCAATACTGTGATAGTTAGGAAAAAGCACAATCATCCAGCGAATAAGATTGGTACTACGGGGAAAACTGGAGTTCCCAAATTAGTTAATATAGTGAGATATTCATGTTGAAATGGATTATTTGCTACATTCAGATGTCGATATATTGCATCTTTTTTATCGTTTCATAGAAATAAATATATTTTGAGTACTATTGTTATTTTTATGAGTGAGCAAAAATTGGAAATGAAGGAAATGCAAATGAACAGATTTTCCAACTCGACAAAGCAATATCAGAACATGTATGCATGTTACTATTGACAATAATTCAATTCATGTTGGTAATATCCCATGAGCTGCTGTGATTGTGTCATTATACTCCAGTAGCTAGAGGGGCAAAAAGTACTGCAACCATACATTAAATCAGGTAGTCCTGTTTCTCTCATATGTTGTTTGGGATGATTAGAGAGTGAAAACCCTGAGTTTTCGTCATCCCCACCCCTCTGCGTTTTCCACTATCTTGAAAAAAACACCCAAAACAGCACTTTTTCCAGTTTTTTGCTTATAACTCCTAAACGACGCATGATTGACAAATGCATCATATTCAGTCTTGTAGAATATGGAATTCCCTACAAGAATCACTGGTTGACTCAACGATCAATAGCAAAGGAGGTATAGAGCAACAAAAATGAATAAATTCGCAATTCAAAAAAATTGCCATTTTTTCGTCCTTTGAATTGCTCAAATTCAAATTGAATGTAGAGATGTTAGTTGTCTTTGTAATGTACGTCTCGAAAAGTTCTTACCACCAATATCAAGGGTTGAGGGTCAAACTAATGAGAAACCGGAATCATGTAAATTTTGTCCAGTTGCCCAGAAGTGTTGTTTAGTCATGTCGTCTTTTAAACTACTGCCTCACTCACATTCTGATGATACAATATAAATACAAATGTTTATTACCTGAAACTAAATTGATTAGGATGATGTATATAAATAACGTGAACTAGTGGAAATTACAGTCGAGCTCGTTCCGGCTGAAAAGGCAGAGTAGTCTTTATTTTCAGCTAATACAGCAAAATCTTCGTCGTCGTCGTTTTTGTCGATTACAATTTCTTGTGTGTTTTCGCAGGACTGCCCAATACAATGTTTGCACAAGCTATAACAGTTCAGTCCAGCTCTTCTGCAGCCACAAGCTGCAGTACAGCTGGTGTGGCATTTGCATGATATTGTCTTTAGGAGCGCCGGAGGTGCTGCATCTCTTGCCATCTTCACGGCAACCAATCCTCTGCTCCCTCTCACCCAGATTCAAGATGGTTCTTGTTATTATGGTGGTACGTCCACAGTGAATAAAAGTGGGCCGCATCTGTCGTCGGCGGAGGTTTGACCAAATCAATCTTAGCAGAGCTACTGATGAATGCCGAGTTGCGCAAATTGGTGAGAAATTGGTCGAGGTTACCTCGATATAATGCGACCAAAATGCGCTCTCCTGCCTGTGCAATTTCTTCAGTAGTGGCAGACGTATCATGAAATGTTTTTGCAACCTCCTGCAAGAGTGGTTTTGAACGGAAAAGGTTGCAAATTTTCTTTTTACCGAATCCGAACATGTTGTAGGTGATGTCGCAGCCACTTATTGCATGAAGGACCAGTAAAATATGGGGAAAATCATATTTTAATGATTTCGGGGAGTCGAATACATCTGTTGAACTACCCTTCCCAGGTTCTGTCGAATACACATTCTCAGTTGCAGGGGATGTTTCTGTGAGTAAAACAAGCAGGTCAATGTCTTCACCGACAATCACAACAGACTCATATTGTCTGGTTAGGGACTCAGCAGTTCTGACGATTAGTACGTCAGCATCTTCTATCTTGTTTGGTTGTGATATTTGAAGCTTCGAGTGCAGATTGAAGAAGTTTGACAAAGCGTTTCTTGTTTTGCTCATCAGACAGTAACTCCTCCTGTGGTGTTGAGTTGACTGTTGTTTTGTCGAATATGACGTCAGCTGAGGTATTCATATTGAACCTCCTTGCTTGTTCTGCACTTTTGGTGCTCTGGCTAGTATCCTCTGGATAGCCACCAAAAACAACAATCACAGAGTGGCCATAATGTCGTTGGATGTAGTTGACGTAATCAGCGCAGATCCGTTCGAATGTGACATTTCGATTCCACACGACTTTGTGCAGTAGATGCCCACCATCTACAACAACCATGCAGATCGTAGGGAGTTCAAAGTTGATTGGAAGGGGTGTAAATGCAGAATATGAGGTAGACTCAGTGCCCTCACGCATACCATCATCGTTGAACTGGAACATTGGATATGGCGCCAGTTCATAGGAAAGAAAATCTTCTAGGTCTTCTTGTGAATTTTTTGCTATGCACATTCTTTGAAATAATGTGAGTGAGTCCACAGAAATCTTTGTCTTGCCAACTTTCACAGCGTTTCTATCAAGTGCAAGGGTAATAACTTTGTCCTTCATTCTGAAGGAAACTTCACCAAAAGTTAAACCAACAATCCTGGAAACCCCCGCTATTCCAACTTGTTGGGCTTTGTGACAATTGACCTGGTCACTCCCTACTATCCCAGAGCTGATGAAAACCACTCCTGCAGTTTTCCTGCATCTTGGGTATCTCGGGTGATCCTGGTGGGCCACATCTCCACATGTTGCTCAAAAAAAAAATCGATGTGACGTAGGTGAATTTCTCAATCGCTTGTGCAATATTTTGTAGGTACGTCATGAAATGGCAATTTTTCTTGAATTGCGAATTTATTCATTTTTGTTGCTCTATACCTCCTTTGCTATTGGTCGTCGAAACAAAGTCAACCAGTGATTGTTGTAGCGAAATTCATATTCTACAACAAGGGTTATAACTGAAAAAGTGCTGTTTTTGGGTGGTTTTCTCAAGATGACGAAAACTCAGGGTTTCCACTCCCTAACCATCCTGAACAACATATAAAAAATCAGGACTACCTGATACAATCACAGCGCAAAAACTTTGTTTTAGATTTTCCAGCGACAAAACGGAACCTAACATTTGAAACCATAACAACCCGAATTTTGAACATTCGGAGTCTTTGAGTGGAGAAATTTCAAAAAATAATCAACAATAGTGTGATTTACGTATACATTGAATTGTCCTACCGGACTACACTAGAGCTTTTTTTTCGGTCGAAATAAGTTTGAAATTTATAATCCGAAGTTTGTTGCCCTTTGGGAATTCAATGGAAGAAACTGCCATAAAAAATTACTCGTCCTACTGATTCGTAATTTTTCCGAAGGCATTTTTTTGTTTCATTTCCAGGCAATAAAATTCTAATTCAAATTTTAAGTTCTCGTGCAATTAGAAATGTCAAAAATATGACCGAAATATCAATACAAAATACCAAATAATGAGTATTTCCATCCAGAATGCTGTTTTTCAACCAAGAAGGAATCTTTAAATTGACAAGCATGTTTTTCTCTTTCGTTTTCAATCACATTTTATACAGTGCGTGCGTAAAGTATCGAAATATAATATTGACCATTCATCATTAGAAATTAAGCATGATATTTCCTTCGCAACCGTTGAATAAAATGATATAATAAGAAGGGCTACTCGGTACTTTTCAAAGTTTAAAAAAGTCACTGATAAACATGATATGGGGGTGTCAAATATATCTTCATGTTTCCATACTTTACGCGTGCATTGCTGTATATGGAATAGTATGCATCACTATAGATTGACCTAATTGATTAGGTTGTCCTTTGAAATTATCGTTTCGCATTCGAACTATATCTTCCTCTTTTTGAAAAACGAACGGTACCTTGTAGTGGTGATGAATCTTGGAAATAAAATAAATGTTAGTAGTGTTTCCAGTATCCTTGAGTGTGAATACCCAATGCTAGCATACAGATTTTTCATCGAATCGTTACATATAAGAGTATTCGGAAAGGATGGCATGGAAAGACCACCGCTAACCGTTAGACAGTTGGGCGCATAATGAAATATATATTCGCGAGATTCACGAAGTGAGCGACATCTAGGTTACATAATACGAACTTCAAACTGAGGGGAAACAAACTGTTGTATATGGATAAAGTGCGTAGACTTCATTGCATACATCTTGCTGGAGCTGTAGTTGTAGTGGTGCCCGCGAGAGTCTCGTTTTCGAGAGTCTCGCATAGTCTCGTCTCGTTTTCGAGACAAGACTCGAGACGAGACTCGGACAAGACGAGACAAGACTTTTATTGGTCTCGTCTCGAGTCTCGTGCAAGACTTCTCGTGTCTCGTGCGAGAGTCTCGCAGGTAAATATTTCTGTGTGCCGACTGCAGACTTGGGAATTTCATTCATAATTAAACATATTCAGAAAGATTTCATTCATAAATCCTACAAAAACACAATCCATGATTGTTGTAAAATGACGTGATGCGTGAAACGAAAACGGACTATTCTCCCTCTTACGGCGGCGGAATATAAATTCTCTGCAATAACGACGGATCGCAAATTGAATACTACCTGAAAATCCATAAATAAGTCATTCTGTGCTAAATAGTCTAAGATAAAGAATAACTTTATGTCTTAATGACTGACGTGTGAATAACAAAAACATTTGTGATCATGAAGGCTGATCTGACTGATAAAGGTTTTTTTCTCAGTTACCTATTTCTTAAATAATAAAAATAATGTAGGATTGACGTTTTTGTTTTGTTCATCTGTTGAGAATATACGTGTTACTTTTCATTTTATTTTTATAAATTTCGAATATATAATGCTATGTTCTTTTTTTCTTGTTTAGATGTATGATGTAAATATGTACCAATTAGGTACTTACTTTTCAATAAATAATGTTATTTCTGTTGTAATTTTCTCTTCCCACTTTTACATTATACCTGGAAAGTAGGTAAAGGTAAATATCCTGTACTCTCGTACGAGACGCAATACAAGACGAGACTCCAGGCTGCGAGACGAGACTCGAGACAAGACTTCATATTTCATCGGCGAGACGATGAGACGAGACTTTATGAAAGTGTTGTCTCGTTGTCTCGTGTGGATCACTATGTAGTTGTCAAACTTGTCCACGACATAAAGTGTTAACACTCTTATGAGTACACAGTACACAAGCTAATGGCACTAATGGGATTGAGTAAGGTTTGAGTTTGTTTTCCCCCAGTTTTGACGTGGCTTTGACATGGAACGATGAAAACCGAGCGCCACCTGGTAACATTGATTTCCGCGAATACATAATATATTCTAGCTGGATCCAGCGGAGATTAGCGAAGACGTACGATAGCCGAATAATATTGCCATTCATATGCTCTATATGTAACGATTCGGCAAACGATCTACAGTATCGACAGAAAAGTGAAAGGTCGCCGACTTTTCTACGGTGCTCTAAAAAAAATTGTTCTAAAATTGTTCTATCCGTCATTCGGTTGCCCCCTTACGAGCAACCCTCAGAAGTCTTCGAAAGACTTGTGCGAGCAAGGAATGACGGGGGCCTTACCTTTTAACGTGTGATCCCAAACACTTTCTTAGGCCATCAGAAAAAGTCTGCGTTCGTGGGTCTCGAACCCACGATCGATACCTCGACGTGAATCGATATTGAAGCATCGAAGCACTGAGGTACGCCGGCCACCTCTAATGGAAACAAAAAGCTAGTGAGTGTGGCATCACCCACCAGGCGAATGGCTCTTTCGTGTATAGATTCTAAGAGCATCAGCTTATGTTTTGGTTTGTTGAAATGAATCTCCCAGGGGATAGTAAGTTATTCCTTCATTCATGAATAATATGGGCATAAAATAATAAAGGAATAAGAATCAATCATTTTGAATCATTAGGAATCAACAAACTCAAAAATTCTAACATTATCCTTAATGATCAACTAGACCTCAATAGTTCATCACTGTTGAATTTGTTTTCTTAGTAGGTAATAATATGTATTGGCTATCAACCCTTTCAAGTTAAGTCATGGAAACCATCCATTCTTAAAGTGGACCGGTATTTTTCAACAGGAGAAAAAACGAATCCAAAGTCGGTCGACCACAATATTTATTATTAAAACATATAATCAGTGTGACTATAGTTTCGGCTCTACGGCCATCTTCTGACACAATCAAAAAGTACCTATAGAAAGTAACAAGTAGAACAAGGTGTTCAACAAAATGGTAGCTGAGAAAGAGATGACATACCTGTTATGTGGAAAAACATCTTAACAATAAAATTTTCAGTAATTATCGGTTCGTTATAATTAATGATCAGTCTAGCCTCACAATCAATTGATTAATTATA